CTTAGAGTGTAAAAAGCTGTTCATTCTTTAATACTATTTTTATATTAGAGAGACAACACATCCGTTGACTGTATACTTTTTTATCGTGACTTATTGCACGGATGCAGGGGATAAATTTATGAATGCAACGGTTATTTTTATGCGCTTCTCAGAAAATGAATTGTTTTGTGGGGGTATATTACTTTTATTATTATTGGTATATTATTTTCTTAAAACATATTAAACATACAGCTCGATGAAGTATAACGATAATACTATTGGACGAAGGAAGGGTAGTTATGAATGAAAATATAGTTTGTGTCAATTGGTGGCGAGGAGTTTGCATAAAACATACAAGCCCTATATGGCGATGATGGGATTAATAATAACCACCAGATTTTTGCCAAAAGCTTGCCAGATAAAACAAGCAAGTTATAATTAAAGAAACTATTTCAAATATTGGTAATTTTTTTATGTTATCCTTCATAAATAAACAAATAAAATTAGTTTATCATTTATAATCAATTAAACATTTATGAAGTTAATAATCTTTTTAATACTAATTCTTATACTATTTTTTTTTTTGTATTTATATTTTTGTAATTTTCAGAAATAATTTATGATAAATATAAAATATAGGCTTATATATATATATATATTGTAATAAAAATATTATATAGGGGGGAGGCGATAAGATAGAGATATTAGGAAAGGGATTATAAGTTATTTGGATTGTGTTAGATTCATTCATATCATCTTAATCCTACCTCTTACCCACTCTGTCCTATTTATTAATATTACATGAATATAGTGCATGTCTTAAGACTACACTTACCTTGATGTCCAAATGGATTCGTAGATAGATGGTGAATTGTGATGTTCCTTGTTGATGTCGATATTTTAAGTTAATTTAAATAAATAAAAATACAGATATGAGGGGCAACATACTGAGTTTATTTCTATAACTTGTATTAATTATTTTGACAAATATATATAAGTCTTATAATTAAAATTAACAAAAGTAACGTGAATTTTACATTATTAACTTTTAATATGAAAGTGTAAGATTATGGGGGAATAATAAGTGAAAATGAAAGTGAGAGTATGCGAGAGAGATAAAAAGGAAAGAGAGTGTCTGTGCTAATTTTACTAGCATTTTTATATTAAATTAGTTGGTAAGGTAATGAAGGGAGGCTAGTTTTTCTTAAAAATTTAACTATTTAATCTTGCCGTCTGTTCGGCGCCACAGATACGCTTATGGTAATTAAAAAGATGGACATTAATGTAAACATCGCTCCAAATGAACGATGTATTTGTAAAAAGTAATAAAATAATAGTCAGTCAGAAAAGTATTTAAAATTGATAATTATTTGTGTAAAGATTATTCTAGAAGTTTCTCGGATAGTCTCGAAACTTCTATTTTGATTCATTACAATTTATAAATATTTTACTATTTTAATAAAAACAATGCAAACACTTTGATAATGGTTACCTTTTGTTATATATATATTTTTTAAATTATAAGATATGTAATACTTTTTAAGTTCATCCCTAATACCTTTTGAGGGTGAAAATTTTGTTTTTTTAAATAGAAACACATTTTTTGAATTTAATTATATGTTTGAGGTTTATTTAAATAGTCAATGGCATTTTAATTTTTAACATAAGATTTTTCGTTTATTAGATATCAAATTTTTAGGTTTCGAATTTTTGAGATAACACACATGTATAATAAAGCGAGGAATTACAAATACAACCAGCTAATTGTAATTTTATGGCGTTGACATTTGCATATATGCAACATTTATTATCAAAGGTAATACGGAACAATTTTTTTAGTTAATAAATACATCAACTGGCAATAAAGAAATTATTTCTATTGATAGTCATAATTGACAGTAAATACTACGTAAAATTGTATATCTAATAAGCAAATGTGTTCCCATTTTAAAAAAAAGCTGACACCCTTACAAGGTATAAGGGATGAACATAAAAAAAAATTATATAGCTAAAAATTCAAAAATAATATATAACTAAAGGTAAGAAACAAAAACATGATTAAATAATTTTTATTCTGTAAGTAATAAAATGGGTTATAATAAAAAATCATTTTGTATATATTTTTTGATTTTGTTGAGTTTTACTAGTCATGTCTGTTAAAATTTTATAAATTAAGAAATAGTAACAAATAAATATACTTCTTTAAATATTAAAAATATTCTAAAAGTGTATAATATGAATATTAAATAATATTATAATAAAAGAAAGTTAATTTTAACTATCTAATAATCTAATAACAAAATAAAAAAAAACAATTTTTTTTTTATTTCTTATTTTATTCTACATTTATACATTGAACTTGGTTGTATTCAACCTTTATTGTCTCTTGCTTAGTTATTTCAATAATATTGTTTATATCTTCTTCACTTAGTGAATTTTGATTAGATGAAGAACCTTCATTTAAGTTAGACGTTTTATTTTCATTATACATGTTATAATAATAATAAAGCCATTGTCTACCATCATTTAAATTTAATCGAAAGAATTTCTCGTTGGTTATATAATGATAAGCATGTATACAAACATAAATACCACAATCAGTACAATTATATTGTCGTATGGCATTTTTGGCAAGAATGAATTCCCATTCACTCGCAATTGGTTTGGGTACTGAATTATCATAGAATATTTTTATATTAAAGTAAGTACTCATTATGAAATGTAAATTTTCATATAAATTTAATCTAATTATTTTTTCTGAATCTAAAATAATTATTTGTTTTGAAACCAAATTAATTACTCCCAAAACCCAATGATAACTGAAAGCTGATGAACCAACTTGTATATTAACTAAAATAATTGTTTTTTCTTGAGTTATTAAATTTGTCATATATTCGATGATAGGAGAAAAATTTTTTTCACGAACACAAATATAGATATATGACGAAACGTATGAAATAGTGTCTTCCTTCTTGTTTTCTTTTATAAAACAATTTATAACATCATCAATTACATCTCCAAATATAAATTTACCGCGTCTTAATGACTTCACAGTATTCGTTACTTTCGTAGGCGCAGAAGGAACTTTTAGTCTTTGAATATCTGTTTTATCTAAATATGAAAAAACAAATATTTAAATTAAAATATTGAAATGTATTACATAATATATAATATATTTTTAAATAAAAATAAAAATCATCATTACATTATTATATTTTTCATTAAAATCTGAACTAAGCTATGATACATATTGATAGATGCTAAGACATATATGTGATAGTACAATACATTACATCCCTCTTAACAAACTTTTTTTTTCTCATTAAATTTAAACAAGAAAAATACACTAATAATATAAATAATTTTAATTTTTTTTATATTTATATAGTTATGCAATTTAGTTTTCTTACCATATTTACTTAATCTATATTTGTTATCCTCTTTTTTTCTTCCACAGAAATTGTTTTATATCGTTATCTTTATTCTCTTTTTGTTCTAAGCTTTCATCCTCTATTTATTTTTTTCCATTGGATTTTATTGTTTTGTAGTTGTTTGAATAATCTTCCTCTATATTACCTGAAGAGTTTGAGATATTCATATTACTTTAATTTGTCCTTTTAATTCTATTATTTTCATCTAATAAGATTATCGATCTTGGTGTATTATGTTGTTTTACAACTTCTGCGGGTGTTCTTATGTATTTCTTTCCGAAAATTATTTTTATTTTAGGATTTATAATTAATTTTCTGTTTCTTACATTTTATCATAATAATATTTTTTAGTTCAGCCCATATTTCATGTTTTCTTTATATTTATTTATTACCTTTAGTTTCAAAAACTCATTTCGTATTGGCAATTTAGTCTTATATATTCTACTAAATAATAATTGACTATATGATTGTTTGGCCGCCGATCATTTGTAGCGCCACTTGTATACAACCGGTAAACGCGATCGAAATTGTTGCGCGTCGTGGCGTACGGCGAGTATGTGTTTGGCACCTATGCTGGGACGATCCTATGACGGACGGTGAGTGCCTCAACTTGAGAGCCCACAACCTAGAGTTCCGTGATCGTCACTTCAATATCAAAGGTGGATTTGGATGCCCATCCACGAGTTTATGGTGTGGAGAAGCGTGTCTGGTCTTGGTCTACGAAAAATTGAAGTAACCAGGTTGCATATAAACCAGTTAACTATAGTTTGTTTAAGTAAAAGCAAGTCGTGTCCACTTAGGCGAAAATACTGGGTACCCCGACCATTGAGGTGTTTTCGAGTCGGTGGTATATCATTTTTGGTTGCAGAGCGTGGTAGTTTTTTTTGTATTTGAGACCTGTGGAAGCCCTTAGCAGTTTTTCGTTGTGGATCGGTAAGATGTGACTTATTCTTATGATTACTCCTTAAAATAAGTAAAAAGAAAAAAAATTGCTGGGTTTTAAATCCTTTATGTATTTCTATGTAGTATGTGTATGTTTTTTCCATCTTTCGGTGTGGACATAAGTATTTTTAGTTTTACGTTATTAGTTTCTTTTAAAAATTTCGTAACTTTCAGCTCGGGAAAAAAGACGTATTTGGTTGCGCAAAAAATAGACGAGAATAATAGGGATCGCGAGATATTAGAGTTTGAACTCTGATAAGAAGTCAGTATACGATCATCGCGTAGTAAACTTCTTATTGTTACTATATCGAATACTTTACACATTGATTGTCATTTTTATGGGTAACCATTAGTATTGTTGTTCTTATTATTATTTGTACCGCTGATTGTTTTGATTATTGTTGGGTTTTGCGTTGTATATGAATAGTTATTAATTTAATTACTTAATTTGTTTAAAGTTTATTATTAAAATTTTGTTTCTCTTAATTGTTTATTATGGCTGACGACGCCGCCTTTAGGCTCGCTAAAGATCGCGCGCTACTTAGGCGATCAACCGCAGTGTCGCACATTAAAGCTACGTACGATTTATCACGTCGGGTAATTACTGAACCGGCACTTAAAGAAAATTTTATCGTGGCAGCGGGCGATATGGACGCGCTTTGGTTTGAATTCGTCACCGAAGACGATGCCCTAATGGATGCGTTGCTTAATTTAGGCGTCGGGTCAGAGTATTCATCAGCACTTCAGATAGAAGTACGCGAGTGCGTAAATTCAATTAAGGCAACGAGACTTAAATATCTGTCGGAAGTAGATCGCGTTCCACCGCCGGCAAACGGGTCGATATTTAGCGAAACCAATTCAGGCGCGGGTTCAGTTCAAGTTATGGAAAAACGTCGCGCAAAAATGCCCGATATGCCGCTACCCCGTTTTGATGGCGATTACACTAAGTGGCCTACGTTTCGCGATCGTTTTAAGTTACTCATTGACCAACAGAACTTTCACGATATTGATAAATTTTATTTTCTAATTGGCTGTCTTGAAGGCAGTAGCGCCGCGGACGTAATCAACAGTATTCCAGTTTCGGAACAAAATTATGCATTAGCCTGGTCGACTCTATCTAACCGTTATGATAAGCCACGGCGAATGGCTACTATGTTAGTCGAAAAAATGCTATCGGCCCAAATGTTGCGTCAAGAAAGTATTGCCGACTTAAATGCGTTTCTGAAAACTTTTGACGAGAGTATTTCGTTGCTTAAAGCATTAAATATACCTGATATAGGGTCATTTCTTTTATTTGCGCTATGCTCCCGTTGTTTACCGACTTCAAGTCGGAAATGTTTCGAGGCTGAAACGGTAGCCGAATATCCCTCAGCCGATGACGTAATTAAATTTGTAAAAAGACGAGTAGCCGTTTTAGAAAATGTTCAAGATTGTCGCCCTGTTCATGGTAATGTGCACAATGTTTATAAAGCTAGGCGTAATGAGCAAAATAGTCGGCTTCCGGTAATGTCGCTCGCGACCACAAAACCAGTCAATAACATTAAAGTATCGAAACAATGCACAGCGTGCAAAGGTGAACATACGCTAGTTAATTGTAATGTTTTTATCAGTTGGACCGTTAATGACCGGTTGCAGTTTGCTCGCGATAAACACCTGTGTTTTCGATGCCTTATCGCTACTCATTATTCCACGAAATGTTCAGCAGCGACGTGTAATCGGTGTAATCGGAGACATCATACATTATTACACATTGATAGACCACCCCGCGCACCCAGCCAACCTATTGATAGTTCGTCGGCCACAGTTGATGTGCCGTCAAATAGTTTCTCGGGTCTTACAGCAAATACTACGCCGACAGTATTGCTGGGGACAGCGTTAGTTCATGTTCGTGATAGGTCGGGCACTCTTCAAACGGCACGCGTATTGTTAGATTCCGGGTCGCAAATTAGTGCCATGACGACGGCATTCGCGGATCGCCTCGGTCTCCCGCGCACTCGATGGACTCAGTCCGTTACGGGTCTTTCTGGGATTCAGGTTCCCGACACCCAAGGTTTTATGACATGTCAGATGCAGCCACGTTTTTCTAGCGAACCGGTATTGACGGTCAAAGCATGGATTTTGCCGTCAATTACAAGTAATTTACCGCGGCAGGTAATTACGGCTCATGTTAGGCAAAATTATAACAATCTAGCACTTGCCGACCCGTCATTCGATACGCCCGGTTCGATCGATTTTCTGCTGGGTGCTGATTTATACTCATTAATTTTGAATGGCAAACGTATTGTTGTACATAACGATCTTCCCGCCGCATTCGGTTCGATATTTGGATGGGTGCTCATCGGTGGCGCTCCCACCACTGTCTCCCTGCCGTGTTTAAATGTGGTATCATTAACAACCTCTTTAGAGACAATGTTAGATAAGTTTTGGCAGGTGGAGGAACCTGACGCAGCCCCAATCGATTTTACCAATGATGGAAAATGCGAGAAAATTTTCTGTGAACAATGCGTACGGCTCCCGTCAGGCCGTTTTTCTGTACCGTTACCATTTCGTTCGTTGTCTCCAGACAAACTTAGTTTTCCGGGATCTCGTCATTTGGCCCTTAAGCGATTCGAAAATTTAGAGAAACGGTTACAAACTGATTCGAAACTACGTGCACTCTATTGTGAATTTATGGCAGATTATATTAAACTTGGTCATATGTCCGTAGCCTCTTCCCCGGGATTGTATTTTATACCACACCATGCTGTGTACAAGCCGGAAATCGACCCTCGTAAAATTCGTGTCGTATTTGACAGTTCGGCTGTACCGTGGGGCGGAAGCTCATTGAACGACTGCTTATATGCTGGTCCGAAGTTGCAACAAGAAGTTGTTGACGTACTTTGCCGTTTCCGTTTGCGCAAATATGCTTTTACCGCCGACATTTGCAAAATGTATCGGCAAATTTTGATAAATCCTGAATACCGTAAATTTCAACACGTTTTATGGCGTTCTTCGTCGACTGAGGAACTTGTTGAATATGAACTTAATACGGTGACTTACGGTGTCAACAGTTCGCCGTACCTGGCGCTGCGCGTGCTACAGTTTATAGCCGACAACGACTGTATCGACGAGCCTGCCGTTCGTCACGCGTTGCGCTATCAAACGTATATAGACGACGTGTGTACTGGAGCGGATACTGTAGAAGGCGCGTTGTCGTTACAGAAGGCGTTAATTTCGGTGCTAGGGAAATCAGCGTTAGAGCTAAGGAAATGGTCAAGCAATTGTATTGCTGTTCTAGACGCTGTTTCGGTAGAACACCGTGCTGCGACGTCGTTGTCATTCGATGACAGTGATGGGGGAGGAACAAAGGTTCTAGGACTTCAGTGGCACGATGCCGGTGATTATTTTTATTATGTGCCCCGCATAGAATCGGTAGTTGTTACTACTAAGCGAGGCGTCTTATCGTTAATAGCCCGCTTGTTTGATCCACTCGGCCTTCTGTCTCCCTGTATTATGTTGGCAAAATCTATAATGCAACGAACCTGGCAACTGTCCCTAGGGTGGGACGAAAAATTACCTGACGATATTAGTATGGAGTGGTCAAATTTTGTTGCGGAGCTACCGCTGTTGTCGCACATTAAAATTGCGCGTTATATCGGCGCGTGTAAAAACTCGTCGTGTCGGCTTCTTGGGTTTTGTGACGCGTCTCAGCGTGGCTACGCCGCCGTTATTTATTTGCGCGTCGAAAATCCATTAACTGAATCGTCTATTTTCCTTATCGGCGCGAAAACTAAATTAGCTCCGATTAAACCACTTTCTATACCCCGTCTCGAGTTAAATGCCGCAGTACTCTTAGCACGTTGGTTAGGACGAATTAAATCCATTTTGTCTACGGATTTAAATATTATCGCGACTCATGCTTGGACCGATTCGCTCGTGGTATTATCGTGGCTAAGTGTACCACATGATACTTTTAAGGCATATGTGTCAAATAGAGTACACCAGGTACAATGTTTAATACCTGAGTGCTCATGGTCCTATGTAAACACAACCGTCAACCCGGCCGACTGCGTATCGCGCGGGGTATTGCCCTCTAAATTATGTGATTATACGTTATACTGGCATGGCCCTCCGTTTATTTTAGAAGCGCCAGATAGGTGGCCGTCGCGACCGTCGTTATTGGATGTATCCGATTCATCTGAAGTCCGCATTATTTCATTAGCTGTTCGCGCCCAGGACCCTCCAACCGAATGGTCAACTCGTTTTTCTTCATATAATCGGATGTTACGCGTCATATCGTATATGAGGCGTTTTGCACATAAGTGTCGCCACAATGCATCTCCAGCGCTCGCGATCACTCAAGAGGAAATCGACGCGTCGTTACGAGCAATAGTGATTGATTCGCAACAATGTTTTTTTGCCGCGTTAAAAAATGAACTTGTAGCTGGAGTCAGTATATCTTCTAAACCTATGGCACGTTTGTGCCCTTTTTTGGACGATTATGGGGTAATCCGCGTGGGTGGACGTTTACGTCATTCGTTGTTACCTTACGAGCAAAAACATCCGATACTTTTAGCTAAACGGTCTCATTTAGCCATACTTATATTCAGATGATATCATGAATATAGCTGTCATGCAGGCCCACGTGTTATGCTTACGCTAGCTACACGGCAATTTTGGATTTTGAGTGCGCGGGCCGTCGTACATAAAGTTATTAGTCGATGCACAACGTGCGTGCGTTACGCAGCTGTAAATCCGCAACCCCGGATGGCTGACTTACCGTCTGCGCGTGTTACAGAATGCCAAGTATTTAGGCGCGTCGGAATCGATTACGCCGGGCCTCTTCAAATGCGCGAAATAAGGTTGAGAAAATCACGTACTTATAAGGTATATTTAGCCATTTTTGTCTGTTTCACCGTTAAAGCGGTACATCTAGAAGTCGTGACGGAACTGTCTACTGAAGCCTTTTTAGCGGCCTTCGATCGGTTCGTCGCTCGTAGGGGCCTACCAGCCCAAGTGTTTTCGGATTGTGGATCAAATTTTATCGGGGCTGATAAACAGCTACGTGACCTTATAAATAGCGTAACGTCTCAAATTAAAATAGCGGCAGCGACGCCCATGTGTGAGTGACATTTTAATGCGCCTTCGGCTGCACACATGGGTGGATTGTGGGAGTCCGCCGTTCGCTCAGCAAAGCGATTATTAATACGC